TCACTTGAAACTTCAAGGAATGGAAGGTGAATGAAGATTAGTGTTAAACAATTAACTTTAGTTTTGTTGCAGGAGCTGTGAAAGGAAATTTTACCAGGTTGTGTGAGTGAGGTTTTGTTCAAGTTATCGTGGAAATTTGTTGTCAATAGTGATGACAATTATGTGACAACTCTTTGAAGAATTATCTCAGGGCAATAATGTGGTATCAATGATATTGTAAACGGTTCAATTTATGAGAAACTTAATGAATCAACATTTGTTGCGGACTCACTCGTCTGTGCCTTGTAAGTCCACAACATTTTGACCATTGTGATGACAAATGTTGCTAAGTGTATAGACCACATTAAAACTCTTTGTTTAAAAGACCGCAAAATTCTTTGGTTTAAGACTGCAAAACTCTTTGTTTAAAAGAACATTCTATTACCTATTGTCTATTCATTATTTAAACATTTTTTATATTTCACTCTTTGACTTGATAATGATGTTGGCCAAACATTGAAACGCCATCAACAAATTTTTAATATGCTTTTACGAAATGTTTTATCACAACTTTTTGTCGTTAAATGTTTTTAAAAAAAAACTCTTCTTTCTCCAATTTGTTCTTACCATACTGACATCAAATAAAACCATTCTCTCAGTGTGTGACATGTAGCAGGAGACACTGAAATGAGCAGCATATTGTCTCTGCTCTTATTTATGAAGGCAAATTGGCCAGTGGTGGTCAAAAAAACACAGTTACATGTATATTGACTGTGTAAGTGCAGATATTATGCTACATGTAAAGATGATTTGTCTACAAGATATTGGATGTAGCCTCATATATAATTACTATGCCGCCATGTTGGTGCACCACTTTGGTGCACCAATATGGCAGCCGGAAAATAATGTAAACATCTGGAACTTACTTTGGCTATAATTATGTAGTCGACTGATTATCTGAACTTAACCATGCAACAAACATTAACACAGGCACTTTTCCTAACACTTAAACTCCTATAAAGGCTAAAAATCACTAGTAAGGGTATATTTTTTGACAGATGTGATCAGAACACTATTGAGCTGAAAAGTTGACAAAAGATATGAATTTAAACCCCTTATGCCTATTGAGGATAAAAGTTTTTGTGGCTTTTTAGTTTGAAATTTTGTAATTTGATGATGTCACATGAAAACAATATATTTAAACTGAGAAATCCACTCATGTGCTCACGGTAAATGAAAACCCAATTCCAAATCATTCTTAAATTTGTTTTGATGCACTGGTTATGAAGGAGTGGAAGAATTCATAGGTGTATAAATGGGCCAAAAAAGCAGTAAGAATGAAACTTTGAAGCTTCAGCAAAAGGAAAGTGAAATATAAGGCGGTGTACCTTTGCTAAATATGTAGAAAAGTCAGTGAATGCTAGTCTTTTTTTTTTTTTCTTTTTCTTTCTGCAGTGAATGCTGATCTATCCCTGTATACATTTGTTTTAAGGCATCTCGCCTCTAACTCTATCCTCCAGCTCTGATTCTGATGATGACTCAGATGAATGAAAGATAATTATTGTTAAACTAATTAAACTAAAAAAGCTTGGAATTTAGTGCTATCTTTTAATTCTCATTAGAAGGATTAATTCAAAAGAATTAAAACCCAATTTAGTTGTCCCTCATTCTGTTCTTTGGTACTAGGGAATATTAAGATGGTATTGGCTGGGGATGTTGAAACTGTAAAATAAAAGGACTGTTTTTTTTTTTTTTTATCTCATATGTTATATATTGAAAAACTGCCATTGATGTATTTTAGATAAATTTCATACTGTTTTTACGGATAGTCACATGTCAGTCTGCCATGTTAGGTCATCTTTCTTTGATTGTAACACTATGAATACTAATTATATTGCTTTTTGTACGTTTACCCTTGTGTACATCACTCTCCTCCGTACTGTCCACTGCTGGTCATGAAAAAGAATTTGAAGGAAGACTGGAGACTTTTACACTTCCGGAAGAGATACGAGCTGCGTGTGCTTCAGCCTCTCCCGTACTGTCCTCTGCTGGTCATGAAAAAGAATTGGAAGGAAGACTGAAGACTTTTACACTTCAGGAAGAGAAAGGTGAGTGAAAAAGGACTCTGAAGCTAAGGTTTAGTTGGTTATAAAAAATTTAATGTAAGTGTTATTTTTGTCAATCAAGAATGCTCTTCAGCAATTATGCAGAGTCAGATAATACTTTTCATTGTCAATTATTCCAAATGTGATTGTGCTTCATTCTCTTTTTGAGTTCGCTTGTGGAACTAAAACAACATACTTGTATATCAAATTGATGTTTTGAACAGCTGTTTTGGTTTAATAGTTCATAAAGGCAATCTATCCATAAATACAAGTTGGTGTGCCACTTTCTAACTCTTTATCTGTAGAAAAGTCAGTGAATGTTTATCTCTCTTTTCATATACCTTTGCTTTTAGGCATCTTGCCTCCTTCTGAAGAAGAACTAGAAGAGCTACTCATGAAACTTCAAAGTATGAAAGGTGAGTAAAAGATGCTGTTAAATTAACCTTCATGGTAAAACTGAACTAAGACTGCTTTGAAATACTTTGACA